TTATAACATTTATCATTTTCCTCTATTATTGTTATTATTGCATTTATTATTTTATTATTGTTATTATCATTTATTATTTTACTCTATTATTATTATTATTATTATTTACATATTTTTATTATTATTACATTTATTTTTACTTTTATTATTGGAAGGATACATAAGCACATGTACATTGAAGAAGGTATGAATAATGGTTTAATCAGAGTTGGGCAGTCTTATCTTAAATTACAGTTTAATGCAAATACTAAAAAAAATTAACTTACTGATGCCTCAATTAATGTAATTGTATTGGTATGTATTTTCATTTTGAAATTTACCAGTAGCGGCTGTATTTCCCACCCTTGGCTTATATTCAAGTCAATTTGTTTGCCCAGATTTTTGTGGTAAAATTAGGTGCCTTGGCTTATATTCGAATCGGCTTATACTCAAGTATATATGGTATATGAAAGTGGAGGGGCTGTTGTGAGTTTGATGAGACTCAGTAATATATGTAGAGTTTCAGCAGAAGTGCCCTTTCACATTACACAATTACAGTCAGCCCTCCACATTTGCTGAGGTTAGTGGCACCGAAATTCCCTGTGAAAGTGAAAAACAGAATAAAGAAACTACATTAACTATGGAAGGTGGCCTCAAACTGCTATGTGTTTTTTGCCCATTTTTTTCTCGGAGAGATTTGCACCAGGACTCTGAAGGCATAGGAGGATAACTCAGACATTCCCATCCCTTTTACTTAATGCACACACAACATACTTTGGTGGCATGCGTTTTGTAGTTACCACTGTTTGAAATCAGATTGAAGTTGCATTGAAAGATCAGTGTAGATGTGCCCTTTGTCTTAATCTTCATTTTGATCATGTGCTTTTATGATTGTCACAAGATGCCCTAAAGTTAACCTTTGTAAAAGGAGAACCTTGGTTTGGAGTCATAGCCAAGTAGGAAACTGAGATTCCAGGCAGAGCTGTGACTTTGGTGCCTTTTGACCATCTGATAGAGAAGTTGGCTTTACTGCAAGATTATTCAAAATGATTCTCACAGCATACTACATAAGTCATATAAAACCACATAGTGGGATTCCTCTATTCATTGCGAGAGACCTCTAAAAATTGTAAACCATTGCAAAAATGTTATATCATGAAATCACAAGTTTTTTTAAAAAAAAATCAGATTGATAAAATGAATAACTTCTCTAATCTGTTCAGGAAGTCACAAAAATGTGGTTTGAGCCTTAGAATATTATCACAGATTTTAAGGAAGTACACCAATTATAAACACTGATATCCGATCACTCTCCCTTACACCCCCCGACCGTAGCCGTCAGATCCCTCATATGATAATTCCGTCACGCATATAAGTGGCGTCTACTGTTCCGTCACTCATATTGTCCCCAACTAAACCACGGATTTTCATACAACACTCCCCCCCTTGCTCCCCCACCTATTATAAGTTGATATAGATCTGAGGCGTCGCATATACCTCTATCCTCCATTTTGCTCTCCTATCTGTGTTTGGATATAACCGTGCACCTCTCCTCAACAGCCCCTCTTAGCCATATCAAGCCCCGCCTGTGAGCGTACACAGCCTCCCTCCCGTCTCCCCGACCTAACTCTGTCCTAAACATGTCTGTCCTGTTGAAAATCTATTAACTCTCGATACGAGCGCCAATTGTGACGACCATTGTCGCCCTCTTGTAGTATGTACTCATGAATCCTCTTACTGATATATGTACCGTACTACTCTACCGGATGCCTTTCCCCCACTCCGTGAGACTTCAGTGTGTATGTTCCGTCGTGCGTGCTGACGTATGTTGGACGTCATCCGTGCGTGGGATTCTCGTTATTTATCCGAGGTACCATCCGCGCCTGTCATATATCTATTTATTGGCATGTGTCACGCGACCGCATCCACATATTCAAACGACTTATAATCCTCTAATTCAAGTATATCGTAGCTATTCTCTCATTGCGAGCGTAGTGTCGAAATCTTGATATATGCGCACAGAATCTGAAGGACGCTTACGCACAGTGCGTTCAACCTCGTATCACAAATGTTCACATATCGCCTGATAAGTGCGCTCAAGCATATAGCTGCCAACCTTCTAGTGCTCGTCCATCCTTATCTCTTTCTTGTACTTATCTCTTGACGTAACATGGTGGCGATGGCCAATCGTAGTAAGGGCCTTTAACGGCAGTGAATGGTTAGTGCCTCGCCGTGCTGCACCTCTCCTTCCTCCCTGCTCTTTCTACACCTCATAATTTGGATAATTTCATCGTGTTTGAGTACTGGGACTATATATTCTCTGTCATGTGTTCTCGCGTGGCTGCACTCTATACAGATGTGAGATTACAGTTCGACGCAGGTGTGGATCAGCATCTCTTTCCGGTTGTTTACTTTCTCTTTAAGTACATGGAACTCTACTGCCGCTCATGGTGTGACATTTTGCCGCGTCTGCGCTGTCCGTCCCTATTTACTCCATGGGCATTCTGCCCTCGAATTCGAAACGACATAATCCAGCACTTGGTCAAACTGAGAAACAGCAGTCCGTTACGATTAGGCAAGTTGAGTGTGCTCAGAACCTTCTAAGGCATAGTGACCTCACTGATCATCACGAAACAGTGTCATTGAAATGGAGGAAAATTTAATTGAATGGACAAAATTCTTATTTGGGGATAGTGCCCTCATTCTGTCCATCCTCTCATGTGTAATCATACTTTTTAATGTACTGTGCTGTTAATTTAGTAGTGTTATTAAAATATAGTTTTGTAGTAGGGCTTATTTGTTGTTATTGTAAACTTTATTTATACTCCGACTTTCCCATCAAAACTGTGGCAGCTTGCAAATTAAAATGGTTACAGTATAGTTAAAAACACAAAAATAGTCAATATCCAAATAGGATTAAAGTATTGAAAACCACATTTCCAAAGCATTTTAACTCCTACATCAAATCTGGATGTGAAAACCTTAAATAAGAATGAATGATTTTCAGTGCAATTGTAAGCATTTGGAATGCTCTTAAGGCATTAAGTGTTCATGGAAGAAGTTCAGATTGTGCGTGAGTCACCCGTACAGGTGCTGTTCTCATCTTACCTAGTGTTCTTCAAAGGATCTGAAGTGATCACAGCTCAGTATAGTATTCAGGTAGCACGGGCCAGTTTCCAATTGCAGAAGTACTTCAGATTTGTCCTAAGTGGTTCATTTGAGTTTCATACTGCAGGTAAATTTCCTCCTGGCATATTTCTAATGAAATTGTGAATGTAAGATACTTTTAAAAACACATAAACATGCTTCTGAAAGATGTATTTTAAAAGTTATTCAGTCATATTCAACCCAGCCAGAGGCTGATACTGATAGAGTTCAGTTGTTAGTTTTTTGCTCAGGACCAAGCTATAAGGGCTTGAATATGTTGACTGTCAGTCTACTAATGAGACATGCCACATTATCACAGGATGTCTATGCCCTACACCACTGGAGAAATTATACTGTTCAGCCAGTATTGCATCACCTGACATCCGTTGGGAAGTAGCAGCCTGTAATGAAAGAACCAAGGCATTGAGATCTCCAGCCCATGCTCTGTTCAGATATCAGCCAGCATTCCAACACCTTAAATCAAGAAAAAGCTTCCTAAGATCCACAGAGATACTTGCAGAAATACCTCAGCAAGAAAGAGTCCAAAAGTGGCAGACTAAAACCCAGAATCTCAAGCCGTGGATGATATCAGATGAGAAAATCCACCCCCCTCCTGGAAACACAGAGAACTGGGCAACTTGGAAGATGCTGAACACACTATGCTCTGGTACCACAAGATGCAGAGCCAATCTTAGGAAATGGGGCTACAAAGTAGAGTCTGCAACATGTGTGGAGAAGAGCAAACCACAGACCACTTACTACAATGCAGCCAGAGCCCTGCCACAATGGAGGACCTTCTTGCAGCGACACCAGAGGCTCTCCAAGTGGCTAGCTTCTAGTCAAAGGAAATCTAGTATAATGCCAAGTTTTTAAACTTTGTGTTTTTAAATAATTATAACTGTATCTTCAACTCATTTCTGACACGATAGATAAATAAAGTATGCTAAGGATACTTAACTAAATAGCCTCCCTTTACCCAAATCTCCCAAACCTGATTAAAATGTCATTGACTGTGTCTTCAATAGCTGGCAGAATGGATCTCTTCTTCCTTGTGTATCTAGTGCCTGGTAAAGTAGGTTGAGTGGGATTATGTCACAATTGTGTCCAAGTAGCAATCACGAATATAGAATAGTGACAGATGGGTAAGTCTAGGTAAGGGTTCCGTATTCACAATCGCTACTTAGCAACCATTGTGACACTGTTGTCAGAACGGTATCTTTCCTCTTCGCCCATTGCCCAACCTACTTTACCAGACATTACCTATATGGGGAGGAGGAGGTTCATTCTGCCAGCTATTGGAGCATAGGTGACACATGTTTCCATTAAGTTTGGGGAAGTTACTTAGGCAAATATTCTTATTTAGATGATGTAGGGCCTTTCCACACAGCCATATAACCCAGAATATCAAGGCAGAAAATCCCACAATATCTACTTTGAACTGGGATTTCTGAGCCCGCACTGCTATATATCCCAGTTCAAAGCAGATAATGTGGGATTTTATTCAGCTGTGTGGAAGGGACCCCAGTTAAGGACACTGGCCATTAATTCTTTTCTTTGCGAACATAAGTGGTTATTGACTTACAGCTTCTGGGAGCTGAGATCCAAAAAAAGGTTCAGGTTGTTACACTTGTGTATTTGGGAGAGGGTTTGAACATCCTTCATTGATTTCAGTGGAAGTTGTAATTATTCTGTCTTGCTCCTCTTGACTTGATTAGCAAAGCCCTACATTCTCAGGCATGAAATATAATCCAGCTTTCTATTAGCAGGCAGTAAATGTAAGTATGTTTATTAATTTAGTAGAATAAGATTATTAATGTGACCTCTGCAAATTAAATTAAAATATGCTCTTTTTGGTTTGTTTGCATTTGTATTAGTGATACAGGAGCAAAACCTCCAGAAAGTGGTATATTTGGATTTATGATTAACGGTTCTGCCATCCTAGGTAAGTATCTGTCTGTTTGTTTATACTGTAACTGTTCCATATTCATGATCACTACTAAGTCATGATTGTGACAGTATTGCCATGATTGTGTCTTTACCCACACACTCACTTTATGGGTTGAATGAAAAGTAATGCCTCCACCTTCTTAATTCCTCAACAGATGGCAGTACTGGTATGTGGCAGGTACTGGCTTGTTTAGTAGTCTCTCCTCTACAGTTCCATTTGGGCGGAAAGCCTTAGCATTGAATGGTTCTGTTGTTAAAGTGTGAAGTATGGAACCCTGCGCAGACGGTCGGTCAATGCGACTTAAGCAATGTGCAGTCATTGAATTCTTGACAGCAGAAGGTGTCACCCCAAAGGAGATTCATCAGAGAATGCAAGCTGTTTATGGTGATTGTGTTGATGTGAGTACTGTGCATCATTGGGTGAGTAAAGTTTAAAGATGTTGAGGTAGGAACATCTGACTTGCGTGACAAACAGCTGGATGTCCTGTGACAGCAACCACCAAATTTCACAAGCAAAAGGTTGACAGATTGATTCAGGACGATCATCATATCACTCAGAGAGAAATTTCAATCATAATTGGCATTTCACAAGAACATGTGAGTCACATTATTGCTTTGTTTGGCTATCAGAAGATGGGTACCCAGGATGAGAGAACTGTGAGCTGCTGGTTGCGGGAAGAGAGTGTCGACTTCTTCCGTGATGGCTTCAGAAAACTTGTTCATTGTTGGCAGAAATGTATCCAATTGTCTGGTGATTATGTGGAAATGTGAATAAGTGCATATTCTAAGGATTATTTCTGCATTTGATTTATTAAAATATTCCCATCCAAACCCAAGTAACAAAGGTGGAGGCATTACTTTTCAGTTAACCCTCGTAGATATGCTGATATAGGATTCCTTATTTTATTGTTGTCATTGTTGTTGCTGCTATTTATATCTTGTCTTTTTCTCTGTCTGAGATGCAAAACAAATAATTCAAGAGATGCCATTTCATGCCTTATCAGTCACCGTTGTCATAGTCTCTTCATTTCTGTACTTAATTCAAAGCAATAATTCTTATAACCTATTCCCATATATATCAACATACAAATTAAAACCTATCTTATGTGCCCCTGCTACTCTGTCATAAAGTTGGTATGGTAGATATAATTTGGGATGGGGAATCCATTGACATTTGAATGTTGACTGTGTGGATAGGAGATTTGCTGTTTTGCAAGATTGGGAAAGCTACATATTCACCCCTATCCCATACAATTAGCAAAAGTTGGTGGCTTCAAACATTCTTAGATAAAAGGAGTGAGTTACGCTATACTCTCGCCAAGCTCAATTATATAGTGTCTCTTAAGTTAACGAAGGGTGCATCTATACTGTAGAATTAATGCAGTGTAACACCACTTGAACTGCTATTTATTTATTTATTTATTTATACGCTTGTATACCGCTAATATCTCAGCCTAAGTCGGCGACTCATTGCGGTTTACAACATTTAAAAAACAGTATTCAGTTTAAAAGCATAAAACACATATACAATACAAATTATTGGGCCACCAATAATAATCCCATGCATCTCATAACTGGAATCGCAGTCCAAAATTCATCGTCCATGATTACCAATCCTTTAGTCATCAAAATTCGTTGCAATGGATTAACCGAATGCTTGTTTAAACATCCATGTCTTCAATCTATTCCGAAACACCATCAGCGAGGGGGCTGATCGTACCTCTATGGGGAGGGTGTTCCAAAGCCGAGGGGCCACCACAGAAAAGGCCCTGTCTCTCGTTCCCGCCAGCCGCACGTGTGAAGCCAGTGGGATAGAGAGCAGGGACTCCCCAGAAGACCTTAGGGTCCTGGTGGGCTGATAGGCTGAGATACGTTCGGATAGATAAGTTGGGCCAGAACCGTTTAGGGCTTTAAAGGCCAACGCCAGCACTTTGAATTGAGCCCGGTAGCAGATTGGCAGCCAGTGGAGCTGGTGCAGCAGAGGAGTTGTATGCTCCCTGCGCCCCGCTCCTGTTAGAATCATGGCTGCCGCCCGTTGGACTAATTGGAGCTTCCGGGCTGTCTTCAAAGGCAACCCCACGTAGAGAGCG